TCCTTCCTTCCTTCCTTCCTTCCTTCCTTCCTTCCTTCCTTCCTTCCCTCCCTCCCTCCCTCCCTACTTTCCTCCCTCCTTTCCTTACTTCTTTGCTTCCCTTTCTTCCTTCCTTTCCTTCCCTTTCTTTCCTTCTTTCCTTCCTTCCCTACTTTTCTCCCTCCTTTCATTCTCTCTCCCTCCCTCCCTCCTCTCTCTCTTCCTTTTTCTCTCTCCTCCCTCTCACTCTCTTTCTCTCCCTCCCTCCTTCTGTCTTCCCTCTCCCTCACTTTCTTTCTATCCCTCCCTCCTTTCTTTCTCTCTGTCTCTCTCTCTTCCCTCTCTCTCTCTTTCTCTTTCTCTCTTTATTTGCTTGTTTTTTGGGGTCCTTAAGGATTCCCTGCTTCTTTTACCTTTAGCTATGCACTTAGCAGTATATCTGTAGTTTATTTAATGCCTAAATTTTATAGCCCGAGAATATTTTAAGTTGGTAATGCTAGAAGTAGAAGCTTCAAGTTTTGCTTTTTTCCTTTTCGTTTTTAATGCAATAAAGTGCTGGGTTTTGCCTCAAGGCAATCTTCACAGCACCTTATAAACTTTACAGTCCAGAGAATCACATTTATGGACAAAAAGACTGAGGTTCAGGGAAGTTCCGAATGTTGCTTCACAGCCCACAGAATAGAAGTGGTGAAGCCACGATGTGAACTCGGAAATCTTTTCTATCATACCTACAACCACCTTGAGGTAATGTGCAAAGGTTCCACAAAGTGCTAAGAGATCTTGCTCCTGCAACAGCAAGGTCAGCGGGTAGACAAGAAGAGGGTGGCACGTGAATGAGCTGCAGAGCCCTGGGGGCTCCTGACCATGACTGATGGGCATCTTGAGTCTCATCCTAGACCTGTGAGCACCTGAGGCCCAAATGCCATGCCACAGCCATTGTGATCAACATAGGAGCTGAGATGCATCAGCAAGGCGCCGTTGGTAAGCAAGGGCAGCTCTGAATGGACTCGGTAGGGAGAGGACTGAGGGTGACCCCAAATTACAGATGCTACCATCACGGCCATGAATGTCCTCTGCTTGGCCTTCATGCATGGCTTAAACATCACTTCCCCAGCAGACTTTCTTGAGCTCCCAGACTAGCGTAAGGCCCTGTTGCCCACACCTCACATGCTCTGTGCTCTCCTGTGGAAGAATGCACCTCTCCTATCCATGCGGTAGCTCTCTTCCCCAGCACTTCAGCTCCGAGGGCAGAGACCATCTGTTTTATTCTCTGCTTTATCCAACACCCCAAGCACAGTGGTTGGCATAGAGAAAGACTCAACAAACACAATTTCAAATAAACCAACAAAGGATTTGGTATTATGCTTTTCAGCCATTCTATGCCTGCCTTGGAGCTCTTTGGGGAGCTTTCAAGGGACCAATGTCAGTCAGAGCTCCACCCCCAGAGATTGAATTAATTTGGGGCGACAAGGAGACCTGCGGTTTAGGACTTTCAAAGCGCCCTCACATCTATTACCCCATTTGATCCCTACAAGTAGCCCGAGAGACAGAGTGAGCACATTTTCTCCTGATTTGACAGGTGAGGAAAGTAAATTTTGTGTATGTGGGCATGTGTGTGAGGGTGTATGTGATGCATGTGTGAGTATACATGCATGCTGTGCTTGCACATATGTGCACGTGCATTTTTGCCCATGAGTGTGCATGTGTGTGTACCTGTGTATGTGTGGTGTGAGGTTTTTAATGCCTGGCTCAAGTCACAGAGTTGGGCAGTGGCAAAGCTTCCTGAATCCTGGTTTTCCTCTCCACAATAGGAGATTCTAGGTAGATTTGCTTACTGGGGCACTCGTGCGTGTGTGGGGGCAGCGGGGGTGCGGGCAAGTGCTCTGGAGGGTAAAGCAGGAGAAGGAAGGAAGCATGAGAAGTTCCTTTTCATGCATATCCTAAGAAGCATCACTTTCAGCTCTCCTTGGGCAGCTGTCCCGTCATCAATCTGCCAACAGTTTACAAGGAAGCCTGGCCTGGGCGGTCACCAGGATTACGATCTCTTTCCCATAAATGAATGCCTGAGGCAAGGCAGGGGAATTCCTTGGTACCTTCTGTTTCTGTCTGACCAGAACCTCCCCCTACTAGCCATGGCCTCTCACCTCCAGAGAGCCCAGTCAGAACCACGCTGTGGGCTGTGGGATGTATTCACCACCACCCCGGAGCTACCGTGGGGTAGTATTCCTTCCATCCCTTAGAGCAGAGCTGCCTCCTCGGCCCAGTTCCTCGTCTCTCCCCATCCTTGATGAGCTCCTCTGCCCTCCCCCGTGACTGGGCCTCCTCCCTGTTCTGGCTCTAGGGCCAATTTCATCACTTCACTGTTTATAGCCTTTGCAGGGAATCTGGGATGACTTAAATCAAGCAAGGCTGACACCAGGCTTCAGCAAACACCCTCTCAAAAAACACAGAGCTTTGTTATAACCAGCTTTCCCAGTGGATAGCCCCCCAAATTAGCAACTGTTAGCCAGTGGAAATTGCTAACAAGGCGTTCCAGTACTGCACCAAGTGACCCATGGGAAGGGAAGTGGCAGCTTCCAGCGAGGATCTCAGATCTCTCTAGGCTAGGGAGACCACGGATGTTTGGCCATCTTCCCTCCATTGACATCTCAGCTCCATAACTCACAGCCCTCCCCAATCCACAAAGAGGTCTTCTCTCTCTAATCCCTTGGATTTCCTGTCTTCCAGCACTAAGCCCCGGACCATGGGGACCCCTGACTCATCTATGTCTGGAATGTTGTAGTAACTCACCACTGTAGCCTCGTTCACTTAATAAGAACATAATCCAAAGCATTTGTGAGGCTCTTATAAGCCAAGCCCTTTGCAAGCACAAGCTCATTATGTTCACGTTATACCAAGATTGTTCTGATCAGAGTATGTATGGATGAAGAAACAGAATCAAGAATGAAAAAGCCCTGGCTGAGGCCCCAGGGTAGTGATTGATTAGAGGATGACTGATTAGGCAGGCATCCGTAGTCCCTCCTTGAACTAGGCCAAGCGGAGTTAATAGAGATGGCAAAATAATTTCCTTCCCCTCTCCGTCTTCTACGCCTATTCTCCTGCCATCAAGGGCAAACTGACTTCGTGTTGGGTGCACCAGCTCTCCAAAGGTATTTCAGGGATAGAGAACCACAGCCTGAGAGGGTGGGAAGGGAATTTGCAAATTCACCTCCATCATGTTACAAAGGCTCAGATACGTTAAGTGCCCTGGAAGCTGGTTAGTGGCTCCTAAATATCCAAGAATCTGAGGCAGGATCCAAACACGCATTCTAGTGTCTGCAGAGTTGCGCATGCCCATCTCAGAAAGGCCTCAGAACCGGCACAAGGCCTTTCCATACAAGCCTGATATCAGTTGACAGGTCACACTCCTAGCAGTTTGCTACCTCCCTGCAATCAGGAAAGCTCCCCTCAGCTGCTTTCAGCACCGGGTTGATCACATAGTGGATGTTTCATAAAGATGTGTTTTCTGACCCTCTGCAAAGGCCTATGTTTTCAGTTAACTGTTATCCTCTACTGTTTTAGCCTATGTTTTCACTTAACTGTTATCCTCTGCTGTTTTAATCAGGAGCTCATGTGTCTTTAAAAAATGAAGATTGATGACTTAAAATAGGGTTGAAATCTGGTTTATTCTTAGGATTCTCCATGACTAGGGAGTGCTGGAGACAATGGGTGCATTTGGGGTGCAAGGCTTAAAGCAGTGAAGGCAAAATGTATAGACCACGGGCTGATGTTTGAACTGCAAAAGAATGAGCCGGTGGAGGAATGGGTAGGAGCAAAATGTTGGCTCTGCTTCTCCTCCCCTTCTCAGAACAGAACAAAAGACACCATACTCTCCTCCTAAAGCTCCAACGGCTCTTGTTTGCGGGGCTCATGTTTTTCCATTGTTGCCCCAGTTAATTGCCTTACAATACCACCTGTATGTAACATGTCTGTAACTCTCTAAAGTAAGGCACTGGTTCTTGTCTGCGTCACGTATAAAGAAATGGAGGACTCTTGCCATGCTGCAAATGGAGGAGTGCCTGAGTGTGAGGCATGCTGGGTGTCTGGAAGGGGTAATGAAATCTTCGTGTTATGATAGGCTCTAGGTGTCTGGAGAGAGGCTCCATTTGTAGGAAGGCAGAAATAGCATTGGTTGCCTTCTGTCTCTTCTCTCTTTCTCTCTCTCTCTTTCTCTTTCTC